GGTTGAGGGTAGGAATGGGGAAAGGTTTCTTTTTAAGTGATGGAAATATTCTTAAGTGATACCATGATGATGATGGTGACACAACTCTATACATGTATTAAAAATTCATTGAGGGCCCTCCATGGTGGTACAGCAGGTTAAGGTACAGCAGGTTAAAGCACAGCACGAAGAAGCTAACGGCACTTCAGCATGAGTTCGATCCTCGCCCCGGAGGTGACCCACATAGCCTAGCATACTTCTCCTGACCCGCCCATTGCTTCCCTCAGCAGTGTATTTCGTCAATCTGCCTGTTCTGCTCCCCACTCTGCCTCTGGTGAATCACTGTGTTGCATCTCTGGCCTGTACCCCAACTCTGTATGCATAAATAAATAAATCTTTTAAAAAAATTCATTGAATAGTGCGCTTAAAGGGTAAAATTTACAGTATATAAAATAATGCCTGAATAAAGTTGCAAACAACACATAGCAAAACCACAGAGATAACCATCAGAGGGTTTCTTTGTGGTGGACACTCGAGATCTGTAAAAGATACCTTCTTCCAACAAGTCCTAGGGTAATTCTAAAGCAAATCTCTTCCAGAGTGAAAGGGAGATGGAAGAGACAGTGCCTCACCTGACACAGCTTCCAGCTGCTTAGTGAGAGCATACATGATGACATCATTCTCCACAATGTAGCCCATGTCGTCTAAGTTATCTTTATCAAACATTATCAGGGCCTCTGAGCAGGCATCCCATACCTGAAAACACAAAGGGAAAGTTTGTATCGCCCAAGGAACAGGAAGCATTGTGACAGAGCAGAAAATCTGTCAGCAACTCTGGCAGGAGAGGTACAGTGAGAAGAGGCATTCTTCCCCCCACTTCCTTAGACTGAGTAGGAACTCTTGTCAGTTTGTCCCACATTCACAGAAAACTTGGAGAATATGCACATGAGTATCCTAATGTGACTAAAGTATCTTGCCACAAGTGATAAGGAAGCACCTGCATTCGCCGGAAGGCTCTGTATCTCATGTTGCAGATGTGGTTCCAGGCGCCCAGACCTATGAAAGAAAGGGACCACAGTGACCTCATGGAAGCGCCATCCCTCGGGCTGCCCTCCATTCATTGTGTTAGGTGAGAGATAGTGTTGTCTTTTCCAGTAATAGAAAAATACCTTTCACTTCTATCCTGTTAACTACTCTCTCTCTGGTTCCAGATTACACAGCATGGAAAAAGATCTAGCTTTTATGTTAAAAAGATCAAATCACACTAAAATAGTAGAACTAAAAAAAGAAAACAAGCCCAAATTATCCCTTTTCTTTGTCATGCTACTGAAGTTATAAACTCCCTAGATACTGTATTTACTTTTGTTTGTTTTGTAACTACCCTGGGCAGCAAAGAGATATATTATGTGCCAAATACATTTTGAGCATAAAGTGGGAAACCAAAGTCCCTGTCCTGCTGCTATATGCCTGCTGGAGAAACAGACGATAAAAAAATGCACACAGTATATGTCAAGTAATAGTGTTCTGAAGAAATACAAAGCAATAGTACAAGGGGCCAGTATGTGATGAAGAGCTTAGCTAGTTTATATAGTTTCAGTTCCACCAGTTCATAATGACCAAACATCACAAATGAAAGTCTGCATCCTGGACCCATATGACCCAAAAATGTCTTCCTCTGACTGGGACCTGACATTTTAGGGATCATCTTGAACTACGTAACAGACTAGCAACCCCACCCCACCCCTACCCGCCTCAGTGAGCTCCTTCCCCATGGGGTTCTTTAGTGACTCTACCCTTTAGACACACTACAAAGTCAGGACACAGGAGATTGGTTCTAGGAGATCTTCTACTCACTGCTGAGAAGGGTTGCAGAGCCAGGGGAAATGGAGCTGACTCTGTTGCTGTAAGTTTCTGGCAATTTCTCCAATACTTTCTTTGGACCTGCTTCTAGCAACAGGATTTTCTTGTCATGAAAGTGAGTATCATATCCTTTAAAATAAAATTTAAAAAAGCTACATTTCATATCATTAGGAAAATTTATTCCCTTTCTCATTTCCTAGAGAAACAACAAGTTATCTACTTCCTTAGTCCTTAAGGTACAAATTTCTCACAGGCACCCAAGAAGGAAACCCAACTTGGAGTCCTAACACGAGCATGTACCACCCTTTTAGCCAGGCAACCCACCCCACACGCAACAATAAAGCTTCTCCAGACTAGCCGACACCTGCCATGTGCAAATAATGACAAGGCCCATAAAGAGACAACATGGTGTTTAAAAAGGAAGGCAGTAGTATTTACATACTATATAGCTTCAATCTTCCAAGTCATTAAAAGTTATAAATCCTGGGCCCTCCCTGGTGGCGCAGCGGGTTAAAGCACAGCACTGAGAATCTAAAGCCGCTTCCACATGATTTCGATTCCCGCCTGCCCTGGAGGTGACCACATGGCGTGGCAGACCTCTCCTGACCCGCCCGCTGCTCCTCTCAGCAGTGTACTTCGTCGATCTGCCTGTTCTGCTCCCCACTCTGTCTCTGGTGAAGCCTCTCACCGCCCCTGAGCCTCTAGCCTGTACCTCAGTTCTGTATGCACAAATAAATAAATCTTAAAAAAAAAAAAGTTATAAATCCTGATCAACAAAAAATGGGGCTAATAATCAAAATTCATTGAGGCTTCAAGACTAAATCAAGGATAAAATAATATATAAAACAAAAGGGGGTCAAGAAATACATCAATTACGCCTACCAATCTGGTCTTAAGGCATCTGCAGAGAGAAGGAAAGAGGGAATTTGGGGACTTTGTTACTGGGTGACTACAGCATACACCCAGCTCCTCCGTGTCTGAAGTGACAGGAGAAAGATAAGTAGTGAGTTGTGGCCGCCATTGAAGGAGGGAAAATGTGAAAAAATTAACACTAGATTTCACCTGGTGAGAAAACCCACAAAATTTTATCTCTTTTCCTTTGCATTTTGCATTCTAAATGAAAACAGAGGCACTAAAAAGTGTGTGAAGAAGCCCCCGAGCACCTGTGCTGAGTGGCAAAGGGCCTGGCCACGCCTGCGGCATAGCACTGCAGCCACCGGTCCTCCCACCCGCTACACCCCTACCTGTTCAAACCTCACCTCCCAGCAGTTCAGACCACCGGGTTCTCCCTCTCCAGGACAGGGCAGAGGATCTTTCACTTCATCCTTCCTTTTACAAGTTATTTGCAAATATTTCTCCTTGGCTTGATGCTAAATTCCTCAGGCACAGAGATCATTTCTTACATCCTTAGAAAAAAATGTTGTCTCCCCTCAGTCCATAAAGTATATCTCAGTGTCTTAATAGAGAGACCAAGAAACTAACAGAATCAGGATTATTGCTTTTAGTTATTAACATAAGATTTTATAAAGCTCATTTGAGGGGAAAATACTAGAGAATACAATTTACAGGTAATAATGTGAGGAAAAAACATGTTACAAGCCTGAAATGTAACTAAGGTAAGTTTGTCGATCTGGCTGTTCTGCTCCCCACTGTCTCTAGTGAATCCTGAGACCACCTCTGGCCTGTAACCCAGTTCTGAAGCATAAATAAAAAAAATCTTTAAAAAAAATTTTTTTTAAAGAGAAAGCACTGCTGCTTTCCTCTTTTGGCATATAGAGAGGGGATAGAGGGTAACAAAGTAAGTTAATGCAAAAAGGATAGCAAAACTCCAAACACTGAAGTTTTAGTAAGGCTTACAAACCTTTCAGGTACGTATCATACAGGGTTGTATTAAGCGCTAAGAGATTAAGTCACTACAAAGCAACTGAGCTCTTCTCAGGGTTTCTCATTCTCACAGCAGGTCGCCAGATCTTCTGCACCCAGGGCCAGAAGTATTTATTAAAAATATAGGCTCCTTGCAAAAGATCATGCTTAGTGAGATAAGCCAGAAAGAGAAAGAAAAATACCGGATGGTTTCACTCATAGCAGGAGTATAATGGACCAGGCGAGAAAATAACAAGAATAATGAACAACCATATACCAGAGACATTCTGTGGGGGCGGAGTGGGTGGGAATGGGAAAAAAAACGGGGGGGTGGGGGAGGGAGGGAAATGCACGGGACTATGGTGGTGGCACAGGGGTGATTTGGTGATGGGAAACCCGCGGGGATTACAGTCGAGATGGAAAAAAAAATGTGCAAAATGATGTAAAAATAAACTTTGTAATAAAAAAAATATATATATAGGCTCCTGGGCGCCACCTGGAATCTTGGTTTTACAAATATTCCCCATAATTCGACTCATTAGCGCTGAGAACTGCATCGCTAAATAGTATGCTTTACATGGTCGGCCTCTGAGGCAGGCGAATCTCAAAACCAATTCCAGTACTCTATCCCTAAGATACAATGCTTTCCAACTGCCGGTAATCAACCCTGGGAAGGTGTTTCCGCAGATTCCGCAGCGCTGGAGTGACTCCGAAGGCAAGCCTTCCCTTTTGACCCCAAAGGCTCAAACGCTCTCTCTGGGGCAGCAGTGGCCAGAAGGGGACCACGTGGTCAGCCCCTGGGAGGGGGTGTCGCTTGGTCCTCTGTGCTCCTGCACGGCTCACCGCCCCTGCTGATGCGCTTACCCAAGGCACAGGCCATGGCAGCACCCACGAGGCCTCCGCCCGACACCACCACATCGTAGACGGTGTCTGCCGAGGCGTCGGACCACCACCGGCGGGAGCCCAGAGGCACTCTGCGAAAGCCTGCAACACCGCACCGGCTCCCTACCAGGCAAGCCGCCATGGTGAGACCCACGCCCAACACCGCGGCCCTAAAGGCCGACCTCGGGAAGCACTTCCGGAGCAGAGCCCGCCAATCACTGCTACCGGGAGCCCCAGCCGCAGGGCCGGAAACAGAACGCGCAAAAACAATAGACCAATCAGAAGAAAGCGTCTGGGCGGGACAGGCTACAGGATGCATGAGGAATGGTTGCTGAAGACACCTGGGAGCCAATCAGAGCCCACGCCTAGAAAGGGGCGGTGCCTGGCCCGACTGCGAGCCCCGCCGCCGCAGCCCCTGCAGCTGTCTCCTCCGCCTCTGCGTCTGTCCCGCTGAGAAGATGACAGTGGGGAGCCCTGCGGGAGACTCTGGCAGCTCTCAGAGTAGCCATCAGGTAAGGAGAGACAGGAACGGGGCGGAATCAGGACTGCGGCGAAGGAAAGGAGTTCCTAAGATAGAAATGTTTGGCGTTGCCTGGGAGACAGACGGCAGGGGAGTGCCTTGTCGCGGCGTGGGCACCGCCCCTTGAGCTGACGTCAGGCCCCTCAAAGAATCGTAGCGGGGGTTTGGGGGGTTAAAGTACGTTTATCCTCCCAACTCCCCGAGGGCTCAGAATCGTCATTTTGTAGAAGAGAAAGCTGAGGCGCTGAGAGATTACTAAATTTACCCCCAATCCATCCCGACAGACTGGTGTTTGCGTAGAGCTAGTGGAGCTACAGGTTGTGCTGGGGGGAGAGTTGAAAGGGTTAAGGAAATAAGGAGTGACTGCTGAATCAGGGAATGGGGCATCTTTAGGAGGGGTGATCAAAATGTTCTGAAAATGATTGTGATGATGTTTGCACAATGCTGTGACTACCCCAGAACCCACTAAATTGGATCCTTTTTTTTTTTTCTAAAAGATTTTATTTATTCATACAGAACTGGGGTACAGGCCAGAGGTGCAGGGGCCGTGAGACCTTCACCAAAGACAAAGCGGGGAGCAGAACAGGCAATGAAGTACACTGCTGAGGGAGCAGCAGGCCGATCAGGAGAGGGCTGTCACACCGTGTGGGTCACCTCAGGGGCAGAGATCAAACTTGCACTGAAGTGGCTGCTGCTAGCTTGCAGTGCTGTGTCCTAACCCAGGGAGGGTTGTGCCACCAGGGAGGGCCTAAATTAGATACTTTTTAAATGAATTCTATGACTTGCATGTGGATTCAATCCCTGTAAAGTCATTTTTTGAAAAAAATAACCCCAGGATCACACATGCACAGCAGCAGAGTCAAAACTAGAGCACATGCATACCTCTGACTCAGAATCCATCCTTCTTCCTAGCATTAGAACCAGACCTCAGAGGACCCAGTAAAACCATCACCACATGTCTCTGAGGCCTACAGCACTGGTTTCCAGCTAGTCACTGTCTGCAGTGTCTTGCTGGCCCCACACCTGCCTAAGGCCCATCTCAGGACATTGTGCTCCAGCAAGAGACTCCCCCAGAGTCAACTTTGTTCCTTCTTCAAGGCCTTTGCACTTGCTGTTACTTGAACCATGAGCCCTCTTATCCCAATCTTTGTAGCAAGGCTGAGTCTTCATCAATAAGAATTCCCCATAGTGAGAAAGTAAAAATCAGCTCAGACCTTAGAAAGTATAATTTAGACTTTGACAGATGAAATCAGCAGCAGGATCAGCAAAAAAAAGTGTTTACAAGACTACACTGTACTGCAAAATTCCTGCAGGACCCTCTAAAAGATTATACTTGCTTATCAATTACACAGCTCCATTGTTCTTGTCATCTTTTGAATAAAAATGCTCACTCACTTTACTAAACTGCTGTTAGAGGTAGCATTCACCCAGAGTTGATTCTGCTTTCCCAGCCTTTCTCAGAATCACTAAGGACCCCCTAAACTTGCCAACTTTTCTACATTTTTCCACAGCATACTTTAGCAAATCAATAGACCTAAATCTGATTATAGGCACATTCCTAGTGGTGTTTATTTGATGGGTTTTGGGTAACAGAAAAGCTTCCCAGACATTGCCCTTTCAACTAAACCCATATTTTCTGTCCTTTTATCCATTCCTAATGATGAAGTGGAAATTAGCAGGTAAAACCATACAGGGCAGAGCCCAGAATGTGGGCAAGGTCATGGGAAATGTTCTGGAATGCCAGGGCAAGAATAATGGGCCAGAGTAAGTGCACTGTAAAAGTTCACCACACTGCATGCACCAACTTTCGCTCTTTCTTCCTTGTCCTGCCCTTAAACAAGCATATCCTATATACCAATTTGTGAAATTTTTTTAGAGCAAGAAACATTTTCCTTGTTCCTTCCCAGACCCTAATATACTGGTTTATTCAGCATGAAATTATGTTTTGAATAAATTTGAAATGATAGTTTGATCACCTCTATCGTATTTTGCCTTAGATATTTCCCCCCAAATCCTCCTCAGACACGGAGGGAGAAGAGGAATTGTCTGGAGATGGGCTGGTGTTGCCCAGGGCTGGCAAACTCGATGAATTCCTCAGCCTAGAGGAGGAGACGGATTCTGCTTCTGACTCAGTTGGGAGCTTTTTCGAGACCCTCCAGGTATTACAGCAGAAGGGCAAGTGGTCTCTGTTGGAATCCCTGTACCTGTCTGATCCAGACAGTGATGAAAACCTCTCTGAAGATGAGGAGGACCTGGAGAGCTTTTTTCAAGACAAAGGCAGAGGGAAGCCACAGGCCCAGCCCCCCAGGTCTCTGAGGTAAGACACTGCAGCTCAGTGGCTGCCTCACTGCACCATTCTGGCCAAGTCATGTCCTGACTCTGGGCCTTGTCTTCCACTGTAAGGCAAAGACCATTTCTGCACATTGCCACTTACCCAGACTACAGCTAAGAATCGGCTTTCCCAGCCACACATGTGTTCTGATTCCTATTCAGAAGTCCTAGTCACTTTGAGTATTACTCAATCACCTGAAACACTGGGACCGATTAAAGGTGAACACATCACCTCCCTGACAGCCAGGTATTTTTACCCTGGCCAAACCTAGTTACATGTGTGTACATTTAATACTTCTTTTCCCAATCACCCTGAAAGTAGATACGATTTTTACTAGTCTACAAATGAAAAAAGTTATGTGGGAACCTTGCTTAAATAGTTATAGTTACAGTTAGTAACTACTTAAAGTAAGATTTTGATCTGGGTCTAACGCTAAAGTGAAAATGCAGTGCTTCAATACATTCTGAGAAGAAACTTCCCAGCAGAAAACACAGCTAGTATGACTGGCAGAAAGAGGGAGACCTCGTGGAGAAAGGTATAGTCTTAGAGGCCTCTGGACTGTGATGTGAGGTTAAAAAGCTGCTGTGACCTGCTGAAGGGAAGACTAGGGTGAGCAGAGGCCGGAGCTGGGCCTCCTTGCTTCCCTGTCCTCCATGCACAGACCTGCTTTCTCTCCCCAGGTGTGGCTCCACGAGGCGCTGCAGCTCCCTGAGCAGCCTTCCCTCTGACACTTCCAAGATTCAGTCCCAGACACACTCGGGCTCCAGGCCTCCATCCCAGCATAGAAGTGTCAGCTCCTGGGCATCATCCATCACTGTCCCACAGCCTTTCCGCATGACACTGAGAGAGGCCCGGAAGAAGGCCCAGTGGTTGGCCTCACCTGCCTCCTTTGAGCGTGAGAGGCAACAGGCCCAGAAACAGGGCCAGGAGGAGGCTGAGTGCCACCGGCAGTTCCGGGCACAACCTGTGCCGGCACATGTCTACCTCCCCCTGTACCGGGAAATCATGGAGTGCAAGGAGGCCCGCAGGCAGGCAGGGATCCAGAAAAGGAAGGAAGATCTCCTCTCTTCCTTGAAGCCCTTTAGCTTCCTAGTGAAGGATGAGCAACGAAAGGAAGCTGTCCAACAGAGGGAGTTGACTGCTACAGCTAAGGCCAAGATCCCGACGCAGAAGGCCACCAGAAAGATCCCCAAGTCCATTCTGGAGCCGGCTCTTGGGGACAAACTCCAGGGTAAAGACATCCTTGCTACCTCACTGCTTCCTGCCTGGGTGTGTCAAGTTGCTGTGGGGATTTAGTCAGACCATGAGGCAGTTTGGCTTGGAGATGAGCTCTTGGGGTAGACCTGCTAGAGGACACACTCATTGCAGGTGACTTGGTAGTGTTGGGTCTACATATGTGATAGGGGAATCTTGTCATGCGTGAGGTGTGGGAGATCTGGCAGTGCTCCTCACATTTGTCCTGTTCACCTCTCAGTAAGTGGATGCAAAGGCCTCTGGAGCAGTACAGGAAAGAACAGAACTGGTGAGATGTCCTAGAGGACTAGTTAGGCAGTGCTACCACTAGGAAAGCTGCCAACCTGCGCTAATCCTTGTGAGGCGTACATTTCGAGAAGTGTAGCTCCATTAAAGGGGCAGAGGCTTTACTGTCTTATTCAGTAACTGCTAGGCCCCCACACTGTTCTAAGGAAAACAGGGAGTTTGTGGACATGGGAGTCAGACAGACAAATGTAATGAGTCACTTGCAGGAGTTAAAGTGAAAAGCTTGGGGGTCCTATGGAGCAGATGGCAGGGGAACCTACCTTAGGGTGTGGGAAGGTGGTGGGGACAGTTTGGAAGGTCCCCAAAGAAAGTAAGCACTGAGGCTGACCCTGAAGGATGAACCATGGCTATTAGATGAAGAGGAAGAGTGTACCAGCCAGAGATATGGCATGGCATGGCATGGCATGGAGGTAGAGAGGAGCCTGAGTGCATTTGAGAGAATAAAGGATGGAGAGAGGGAGGGCACAAGCCAGACCCAAGGGAGAGTGCCCTCCACATGAGGAAGTCTTGACTTCATCCCAAAGGCACTGAGGGACTGCTGAAAGGTGTTAAAAAGTAGGGTTGGGGCCCTCCCTGGTGGCGAAGCAGTTTAAAGCACAGCACTAAGAAGCTTAAGCCACTTCCGCGTGAGTTCGATCCCCACCTGCCCTGGAGGTGATTCACATGGTGTGACAGACCTCTCTCTCCTGGCCAGCCCGCTACTCCCCTCAGCAATGTACTTCCTCAATCTGCCTGTTATACTCCCCACTCTGTCTCTGGTGAAGCCTCTCACCCTCCGCATCTCTGGCCTGTACCCCAGTTCTGTATTCAACACTTCCATTGAGAAATTATGAAATTAGTAGTAGAACAGGTGAAAAGAGGCTCTACTGGAAATTCCGTGGAAGGCAGAACTTGCAAAGGATGCATTGAGAGAGGGAGTCAAGAGTGGTATGGGTAGTGGGTTTAGTTCAGCTGGGTGAATGGTGGGGCCTTCTCCTCTAGGAGAGGAGGTACCTAGACCACTCTCTTCTGTTCCGTATCTGCTCGGTGAAGAAGGAACTGAAGAAAGTTGGTGAGCAAGTACATGGAATCTGATTCTGCATGCTGATCGGGTCAAGGCAGTGGTGTCCTGGTCAGGGCTTATTAAAGAGCAAGCCAGACAAAAAAAAAGAAAAAGCAGCAAGCTGATTTGCCTTCTTTTCATGATATAAATCATTCTATTGTTGCCAATTTCAGCCTTCCCAACATAGTGTCAGCTGGCTCATAAAATTCCTGGAAAGTTACAGTTGGCTCCAACACTATTGGTAATATTTAAAAGCGGCAAAGTTCGGTCCCCTCTCACCCATCACCACCTTGACTTTTTCTCCACAGAAGCTGAGCTCTTCAGGAAAATTCGCATCCAGATGAGAGCTCTGGACATGCTCCAGATGGCTGCCTCCCCCTTCACCTCCTCCAGTAGTCGGGCTGATACACAGCCCCGTACAGCCTCTCGAACCCGAGAGAAGAAGCTTGGCTTTCTGCACACTGACTTTGGATTCCAGCCTCGGGTGAACCCTGCTGTCCCCGACTACGAGGGCCTTTACAAGGCCTTCCAGAGGAGAGCTGCCAAGAGACGGGACACCCGGGAGGCAACTCGCAACAAGCCCTTCTCGCTGAGAACCTCCAGCCTGCATCGCTCTCTGCGGCCCTGCGATGCCACCTCTGGAGAGAGAAGGGTAAGATCCCGGGCAGCTGCAGAGGGTTAGGATCAGTGGAAGCGTTTCTCGTAACATTTTCCTTACTTTCTTTTAAACACCAGCTCAGCTACAAGAAAATCCACAATGCTTATAAACATAAACCCACAAAAATGCTTCCTTTCCTTCTCTTTCTAGAGGGATTTTGTAGAAGTACATCCATGCAGGCCAGGAAGGCAGGCACTGGGGTCAACTGCTATATCCCTATACTCATTTCACAGAACTCTTCTCATTTGATTAAAAGCTTTAGGATTGATGTACAAGTTTTGTCCTGGTTACTAAACTTGTTATTAACCTTGGCTAATACCAGAAGAGAAAATTAAGACTCTTAGTCTGACTAGTCCTAAATGGAAATTGAAGATGGAAACTAACCACCGTGTGGCAAAAACAGCCTTTGTTTCTTCTTAGGAGTCCCCACAGCCACCTACTGCCCCCCGGGCAAGGAGTCGTTCTCTGAGTGGCCTTGCTTCCCTCTCTGCTAACACCCTCCCTGTGCACATCACAGATGCCACCAGGAAGAGGGAATTTGCAGTCAGGTGAGTAGTCAGGCTGCACAAGACCCACAGTGCTCAGGTCGGGGCCCAAGTGATGGAAACCACTCTGCTGCTGGGCCTCCTCTCCTGTTATCAGAGAGCCTACAGGGAGAAGGGGAGTCTCTGATCCTGTCAGGAATGCCCGTGGCCCTCCATACTCAGTGCTGGAGAACACAGAGCTGTCATTTGGCAAATGTCCATGGGGACTTACTCTGTGCTCGGCATAATGTGAAGCCTGGAGGTAACTGTTGGAAACCATAGTTTAACATCTAATCAGACTACCATATTTTGGGAGTACTACAATGATGGAGGGACTCCGGGGTTGTAAGGTAGCGGGCGGAACAGGGCTGGGGGTCTCTTGTAATAGACGTAAGGTGAAACCTAGACATAAGGTTTGAGATTCCTAGACATAAAGAGTTAGCCAAAGGCTGGAGAGAGGGGCTCCAAACAGAATGATAAAGTTATAGATGCAAGGACAAGGCAGGAGCAGGAATTCAGGAACCTACAGCAGGTGGCAGACGTGCCATTGAGATGAAGTGTTCCTTGCACAGATCTGAGATTCTGAGACTCCCCATGGAGCACTATCCATCAACAGCAGGAGCCTTCTCATTTCCAACTTTCACTGACCTGATTCTGTCATGGTTGTTTTCATTGAACAAGTTCTGCTAGATCTCTGAGCTTAAGTCAGCAGAAGAGATGTGGCCTTACGAGCAACTTAGCACTGGGAGATGACCAACATCAGTCACACTTTCTGTGGAGCTTAGGAGTACATAGAATATACATGGCTCTTTAAGATCACATCAGAGATTTAAAAAAATATATTTAGGGTCCAAGGGCTATTACCTTTTTCCTCAAATTACACAGAACTACTAATCAGGCTAAGGCATCAGTATCAGAGAGGCCTCAGGAAGCAGGGCTGGCCCATCTATAAAGGACTTCCACATCTGCCCGCTCAGATTATGGCACATTAGCAAGTGAAACTTTTATGCCTTCCTTCCTAATCTGTTCATTTGAATATAAACATTCAAAGGCAACCATCTTGATTTTTTTCCCTTTGGTAGAATTCTACCACCATATAGAATATTTACACAACTTTGTGTGTTACAGATTGACCCAAAATCATGTGTATATTGAGGGCAGCCCATTTCTGATGCTACATGGAAATGAAATCTGTATTTCCAAAGGCCATGAACCTTCCAGCTCACCATCTACAAGGGCAAGAACCTGGGTATTGAGCATCTGGTTTCCAATCTTGACTTTTCCAGTGGCCTGCTGGGCACTGAGCATCCTCTTTAAAGGGGTTTATACTCCTGGCTACACAGGGACATTATGAGGATTACACCAGATAATGAGTATCATGCACTTACTGGCTGCTGCACTTGATTTAGGGTATGAGACTATATTCTTTTTTTGCTCCTTCCCTTTAGAAATTCACTTGAAAAAAGAAACAAAGAGGATGAGAGTACTCAGTGGCTGGAGATGCACAAAAAGAAGTGTCAAGCTATATCTAAATCGGTGTCCTTGCGAGCAAAAGCCATGGACCCCCACAAGAGCCTGGAGGAGGTATTCAAAGCAAAGCTGAAAGAGAATCGGTCAGTGCCCTCCATGTGTCAAGGGGTGCTTGTCTGGGATCCAACAGATCAATGGCCTTGAAAGCAGATAAACAGTTATTAGGGCAGGCTCCTATAATATCCCAGAGTCAAGGGTTTTGCCAGGCCATTTCTTACATTAGGAATTTATCATGTCCGTGGGAATTACTTTGCTTAATGGGAATAAATGATATTCTCGATTGCAAAAAGAAAGAATTCATTTTTTAAATCTCATTAATTTAGGAACAATGACCGTAAAAGAACAAGAGAGTATAAGAAAGAACTGGAGGAAATGAAGAAGAGAATACAAACAAGGCCCTATCTCTTTGAACAAGTCACCACGGTAGGAACTACACCATCATTCATTTTCTTTCTGTCTTGGAGAGGGGAAAAAAATGGAGGAAGGAAGCTCTTAAAAATGAGTTTTGGGCCTTCCCTGGTGGTACAACAGGTTAGGACACTGAAAGCTAGCCACAGCCATCTCAGTGCAGGTTTGATCTCCCACGGTGACCCACACTGGGCAGCAGCTCTCTCGTCTTGCCCGCTGCTCCCCTCAGCAGTGTACTTGGTCGATCTGCCTGTCCTGCTCCCCACTGTCTGGTGAAGCCTCTCAGTGCCCCTACACCGCTGGCCTGTACTCCAGTTTTGCATGAATAATATATATTTTTAATTATGGAAGTTTACTATCTGGGCATTAAATATTGCCTTGAGACTCAGAAAGATTCTAAACTGGGTCCATTTCATTTACTAGAGTTTTTACTATATCCTGAGCTTTCAGTCGAATTGGAGTCAGTTAGATCCCAGCCACTGAGTTTGGCTATTAGAAAGAGATCTTCAACTTACTGCTATGACTGAAGTCCAGTCTTCTGTCTGGAATCACTGTATTATTGGGACAATCTGTCTCCTACAGTCCTGGCACTCTGGCATCCCTAGCCTCTAGAATTGGGCTGGGGTGCTCACAAAGCTTTTCTGACTTAAGTGCCTTCCAGGCTTAAGAATCATTTTTAAATGCTCTGTAGACTTAAGGAAGTTGTATTAAGATCCCCCCAAGGAAGCTCTGCAGCTACTTCAACAGCCCAAGTAACACCACCATCCCAGGCAATTTTCTATCATTTCAGACAAAAATTTGGATTCCCTGTAAACTGGTTCCAATTCTGGGTGCTAAATGTGTTTTATAGACAATGTGTTATTTACGCATTTCCAAGCCCTAGACATACTGCACACAAATCACATGCACTGGAGTGTCTTGGATTTACTTACCAACCTCCATTGGTTGAAATTTCTTGTGTTAATCTTTCCGTAATTGTTTCAAACATACTCACTCTCAAATCTCAACAGATAGGAAAAATACAAAGCATTCTATGATTGTACTCTTGAACATTTACAACAAGAAATGTTTGGGTATTACAGTGCAGTTTACTTTCTTTTTGTTACATCTTAGCATTCGTGATGATGGTTGGTTGCTTTTAATCTTAAAACATTTTTTTTAAATCTGGGATTCACTTTGTCTTCCAAAATGTAAGTCCTTGCCTCTCAACTCCCTAACAGCTGGTATCTCTGGGGAGTGTCAGAAATACAGAACCTCAGGCCCCATCTGAGTCCTACCAAATAAAAACCTGCATTTTAACAAGATCTTCAAAAGTTCCTATGCACGTTAAGGCTTAAAACCAGGTTCTAAGTAATTTTCATGTAAATCTGTATGCAACATTAATGGGTGGCCTGTGGTAAGCAAGAATGTAAGGATGTGGATTAAGCAAGAACATACAGAATAAGCAAGTAATTTAGAATTATCTGGAAATTCAGCCACAGATTTCCTTTTTACAGGACCTTGCCAAGAAAGAAGCAGAACAACGGTATCGAGACACCCTGAAACAGGCTGGGCTTGATGAAGATTTTGTGAGGAACAAGGGTCGGGGCACCCGAGCTGTGCAATGGAAGGATCAGTCAGAAGTTGATGACTATCACAGGTAATCTGAGATGCTGCTATCACTCTGCTGCTAAAGTGCCATACATACCCAGTAATGCCACTGGGAGGAAACTTTAGACCAGCCGCTCCTATTTTGAGGTCATAATCCTGTATTACTAGAATACTCATCCTGAACTCTCCAAGTAATATACTAGAATTTGGAAAGATCAGTGTGAATAAAGTGTAACCTTGTGTATCTGGTTTAGTTTCCTACAATTTGAAGCATCATTTCTCTAATTCCAACAATTCTTCACTTTTGAAGAAAAGTCAAGTATTTTTACTTCCTATAAAACTTCTAGTACTCTTTAAAAAGTAACTCTTTAGCACAAGCTCCCCCACTAGTTAAAAGTCAAAAAAGTAAGAAAAACTGTTATTCTAAATTGTGCTAGTGGCCCCTTCCTCTAATTTCTAGCCCAGTTTTCCCACATAAAAGAATGAAAATGTTGAAATTTCCTTTAATTAAAAATTTATTCCATAATGCTTCAATTTATTGTGCAGCTCCCATGAAGCTACAAAATTTGACACCAGAAATCCCCAGAATTTAGAAGACTCACTTGAACTGCCTACAACCCCCAAGAAAGAACTGGAGGAGCTGCCTTATGAAGTGCTAGATAATCTCAAATCGCTTGCTTAATCAGTACACTTAAAATTGCTGCTTTTCAGTCATAGTAAGTAGCCAACTTGGGGTTCAGTCAAATCAGGAGGTAAAACTTGGACTTGTCAAGTCATTATGTCTTAGAGAATGGGGAAATGAAAAATAGCAGGTTAACAGGAATGGTCTGAATCAATCAAAGAGGAGCAGCAAGTGTGGAGTGATCATACCAAGTTCTTGCCTTGTCTCACATTTAAGACTAAAAAACAGGGCACGGCCCTCCCTGGTGGCGCAGCGGGTTAAAGCACTGCACTGAGACGCTCAAGCCACTTCAGCATGAGTTCGATTCCCGCCTGCCCCGGAGGTGACCACATGGCGTGGCAGACCTCTCCTGACCCGCCCGCTGCTCCCCTCAGCAGTGTACTTCATTAATCTGCCTCCCCACTCTGTCTCTGGTGAAGCCTCTCGCCTCCCCTGAGCCTCTGGCCTGTACCCCAGTTCTGTATGTACAAATAAATAAATCTTAAAAAAATAAAAAAAAATAAAGAACAAAAAATGAGATCCTTTAAAAAAAAAAACAAAAACAGGGCACACGTCCAGTTGCCTACAGGCCAGAAAACAAGTGGATCAAAAGATAGTTAAGAGATACTGAAGACTGAGGCTAGAAACCCTGCTGAGTACAAGCTTGAAATCTCCAGGTCAACCGCTTTTTCAACAGAAGCCAGAAATTTGCATGCTATTAACTAAAAACTACTTGAAAATACTGTGAGCAAGCAAAAACACCTAGTGGATGAAAAGTTTGGAACTTCTAGCACAATGTTTCTGTTTATGTTTTGGGTTTTTTTGGTAGTGTTTTATCTCTGCCATACTGAAGTCTTTGGTCAGATGTCTTTGTTGAGTGTTGGGAGAAGGTATTGTCTGTTACACTGTAGGTTGTTTAGCAGCATCCCTGCCCTCCACTGGATACCAGTAAACCCCTTTTCCTCTAGTTATGACAACCAAAATGTCTCCAGATATTGCCAGGCATTATGTGAGGAGGGTGGCAAAAAATGCCTTGGGTTGAAAAGTGCTACCCTCATATAAAAGGCTACAGGAAGTAAAAACTGGCATTTTAGGGCTCTCCCTTGTGGCACAGCAGGTTAATGCACACAATACAAAGCTGGCCACAGTCACCAGCACAGAATTCAGTCCCCGGCCAGGGAGGTGATCCACATGGCATGGCAGACCTCTCCTGTTTTGCACGCTGCTCCCCTCAGCAGTGTACTTCATCAGTCTGCCTGTTCTGCTCCACACTCTATCTGGTGAATCCTTTTACTGCCCCTGCACCTCTGGTCTGTACCCCAGTTCTGTATGCATAAATAAATAAAATATTTAAAAGTACTAAAAAAACCCTAGCATTTTAATACAATTGACATGAGCTGATTCTACATAGCACAGATGACTATGCATGTCATCAACAAATTTAGAACTATAATCACTATTTAAAACAGCAGTTATTTCTTGTCATCTCTTTAGAATGTGCCACTGTGTGTGTCAACATGAAGTTCATTTTAAAAAGAACTTGAAATTTCTCTAACAGTCATGATTTTGTACTAGCTAAGATCCCTGGAATACCTTTCTTCTTACCAACAATTACATAATCTCTCAATATCTGTAGAGACAGAACAGCAATAGGGCCTGCTCTAACAAAATGCCTCTCTCGTGTTTTTAAAATGTTGTCATACCATTTTCCCAGACTCAGATATGGTCCTTTCTGATAACAACAAGATCTATGTTAGTAACCATTACCTGCATTTGCTGGTCAGAGATGTAGATGCTCACATCATGTTCCCAAAGACTCCTGAGTTTTACACCTGCATGGAATTTTAAGGATAATCAGTGTCCTTTTTTGAAAGAGAAAGACTAAGCTATTTTTTCTTAATCTCCTCTTTAAGAAAATTAGTTTTGTCCAAAACAAGGAGCCAAAGAAATGACTGGGCTATTCTGTTTATTTAAAGGAAAAACAATTGAAGCTCTGAATCGTGATTTAAAAAAAAAAAAAAAAAACGACCCTTTTCACATGCTACCATATGTTCATAAACAAAGAAAGCAAAGTGACCAACTAGAGGTGTATATATAGGACAAGATAGTACCTCAGCCTCGGTTAGGTAGGGATTCAAGTAATTTATTTTTTTGCAGCCCAGTGGCAGAGACTCTTACTCAGGTTGCTAAAGGGAGAATGTCACAACAAAACTGATTATCACTCCCTTCTCCAAAGCAACAAGGCATCTTGAAAGCTCAACTTCTTGATGAAGTTTCATGGTTGGTGGCAGGATTTAATTCACCCATATGAAAAAACAGCTGAGTCTGGAATGAAATTCTTCAAAGGAAAACTTCCTCTCAACAGTCATACTGAGAAACTTCAGCCAACTCATCATCACATTCACTTTTGGGAGAAGTCCATCCCAAAATTTTGCAGTGGGAAGAGAGGTAGGTACAGTCACCCAGCCCACATTCACTGCTTTCCTCGTCTGGATCCGATGGTAGTTTGAAGAGAAGCTCTCCTACATTCATCTTCTAATATCAGGTTAGATGAACAGAGGCAAAAGTGGGACTTGTCCTTCCAGATTCATTTTGGTTCAGGCAGATGGTGAGCAAGATGCATCCTTTTCCACCACAAGCATTCTGGGATCAGAAAGAGCTGCTCTTCCAGGAGTTAGCACCCACACTCATGTACGACTTTCAGTTAAATCTCCTTGGTTTAGTAACTGTAAAAGATTAAAACCAAATCTGCAGTAGACTATCAGATAATAGGAAAAATAATTCATGGTAAGAAAAAGATTTACAAGCCAGAGTGAGAAATGCAGGGGTGAGTCAAGGATTATCTACTTCCAGAAGGAGATGTGCACAGACTGAGGTCTCATTCATATACCGGCCTCGGGAGACAGTACTTGAGCCACTTCGCCATGAGGCATTTCAGTATGGCAACAAAATGTCCTGTCTGTGCGGTCACATACGCACTAGTCAAAGACAGGTGAAATCAGAAATGATACAAAAATCTTACCTTGGTCAGGGCTAGCCCAAGTCTCAAAGCAGAAGTAAAAGAAATGGGAACTTACTCCCAGTGAATGCCATGTGCCAGCTCAACCCCACAGTGAAAATTGAATTATTCCCCGCATTTAAAATACCTTTCCTATGGGAAGGCACGCAAGCCTGGGACACTCCCACAGCGTACATACAATTAAAATCTTCTCTACCCAGGGGATCTGTTGAAAGGGAGTTTTAAAGAATTGTTGATGAAATTTGCTTCTATTTTATTATGAGAATAGTATAATGAATTTCAGAGTAGAGTTGGTAAATTCTTGAGCTAGTGAGATATGTTTACTTGGTGAATATATAGAATTTGACAAGGAATTTAAAGAAAATTATTAAAAACTAACCCAAGATTGCATTTGATGCTATGTGGTAGGAATATAAGACTGGTGTGTTTTCTTTTTAATATATATTTATATATATTTACATCATTGTTCATTCTTGCACAATGTCTGTGTTTTTCCCTCAGGTATAGTTCCCACAGAATTCCCAACACTCATGCCCTGTCTCCATAGTCGCTTGTGCTCTTCCCACCCTCATTCTGTTCCCTTTTCTTCCCTTCCCCTGCAGAATGTCTGATTTATAGTTGTCTGTTTTTCCTTGATCCTCTATATTCCTCCTATTAGCAAAACCATTGGTATTTTTCTTTTTCCTTCTGACTTATTTCACTGAGCATAATCTCTTCTAACCTACATCAGGTGCTGTGAATGCCATTAGTTTATCTTTTTGATTACTGAATAGTATTCCACTGTGTGTATATACCATATCTTGATCCAGCTGTCTATTTTTGGGCATTTGGGTTAATTCCAGGTCAGGTCTTACCTATTATAATAGTGCAACAGAGTTACATGCATTTTTTTGCATTAATGATTTTATCTCCTTTGGGTAGATTCCTGTTGCTGGGTCATATGGAAGCTTCATTTTTAGTAGAACAAGGAAACTGTATGTGTACTAGAGTTTACATTCCCAGCAGCTGTGTAGGAGAGTTCCTTTTTCACCATATCCTCACCAACATTTGTGGTTGTAGTTTTTTAAATATGTACCATTCTTACTGGTGTAAGGTGGTATCTCATTGTGGTTTTAATTTGCATTTTCCTGATTATGAAGTATGATGAACGTTTTTTCATATGAAGAATGGCATGTTTTCAATTTAGACCAAGATCCAGATGTTTGCACTGAAACTTAGCAGTGGCTAGTAAATGTTAAGGAACTTATAAATTCTCTGTTTTATTTGGGAAACACTGTAATATACAGTCAAAGACAGCTGGTGATCACTTATGGTCCTTGAGTCAAGAACGTGAACTCAAGTGTGACTGCAGGATACCAATTAGAATCAACTTTATGTGGCAGGAAGTCCAAAAGCCCTGAGGTCTCAATTGGGTCTGTACAATGAGTTTTCTATGTAATTCTTGAAGACTTGGCAATAATGAGGGAAAATATAAATCATCCAATTGGAAACATCTTAATGAGAGCTAATTTATAGTTCTGATGTATTTTCCATAATAATTTCTGATACCTTATTGGTTGTTATATGAAATTCTTATGCTATTTTTGTTTTTTGAACATCCAGTTATAAGTGCCTCAGTAGCGTCTTACAGGTCTGATCTATAATGATCTACCTATAGGTCTGATCTCTAAAAACAGAATTTGGAGACAATCTGCAGAGGGGGTGGGGGACAAAGGAGTAGTACCAAATTAGGGGTGAGAAGAGTGCAAGGGACTATGGTGATGGTGCACAGGTGAACTGGTGGCGGGAATTTCACAGGGATTACACCCAAACACAGCACTATGAAACTATACTCAGCCACTGAATCGCAAGTTAGATCCTGGGCCAGGGAGCTGACCCACATGGCACAGCAGACCTCTCCTAACCTGCCCACTGCTCCCCTCAGCAGTGGATTTCAGTTGATTTGCCTGTTATGCTCCCTACTGTTTCTAGTGAATGCTCTCACCCAGTGCAGTCAACCTGTACCCTCTAGTTCTTGTATGCGTAAATAAATCTTTAAAAATAAGTGAAGGAGGCCCTCCCTGGTGGCGCAGCAGATTAATAAAGCACAGCACTAAGAAGCTAAAGCCACTTCAGCATGAGTTCAGTTCCTGCCCCAGAGGTGACCCACATGGCATGGCAGACCTCTCCTGACCCTCCTTCTGCTCCCCTCAGCAGTGTACTTCAACAATCTGCCTGTTCTGCTCCCCACTCTGTCTGTAGTGAATCCTCTCACCTACCCTGCACCTCTGGCCTGTACCCCAGTTCTGTAGGCATAAATAAATAAACCTTTAAAAAAAAGTGACGTATATAAAATAATAAAAAAATTAATTAAAAATAACTAAAGAATTTGGAATGAACACGTGTTACTTTAAGAATTGCAAATAGCCTTCTCTGGCATCTGATACAATAGTTAGATTTTGGATGGCAAAGAGGACAAAGCCTGGAGTCTTGAGAGGACTGCAGTTTGATAAAAGCAAAGGCAGTGGGGAATGTAATAAGCCTTATCCTGAGAAGGGAGGAAATAAGCAGTAGACATCCCTACAAGATAACAGAGGTAATAGTAAAGGAAACACAAAAGTGAAGTTCAGACAGAGGATGTTTGAAAAGTGACAGACAGTGCAGGATTTCGGCACTTAGGGCCCAAAGACAGTGTCCTTTGGAAGTTAAAGCCAAGTTTGGTTTTTTTTTTGTTTGTTTTTTAGGAAATCTGGGTTATTGTGTCTTTGGCTGTAAGTGGATACCACTGAGACAAGGATATTCTGATGTCAATTCCAAGACCCATATACCGAGGTTTAAAAGTACTGCACTTTTGGGCTCTCCCTGGTGGTGCAACGGGTTAGGACACAGCCAGCTTGTTTGATTCCCCACCCCAGAGGAGATCTACATAGCGCAGCAGACTTCTCCTGCCTTGCCTGCTGCTCCCCTCAGCAGTGTACTTTGTTGATCTGCCTGTTCTGCTCCCCACTCTCTCTCTGATAAATCCTCTCACTGCCCCTGCACCTATGGCCCGTACCCTAGTTCTGTATGCATATATAAATAAATTTAAAAACAAACAAAAAAAGAGTAGTGCACTATTACTGGACCTTCTGCATATACAAGACTGACCATGTCATATGTTGCTGAAAATCAAGAGTGGTTCCCTATTTTCCCCAGGCCAAAACTCATTTCCTCTAAGGACCAGTTTATCTTTCCTACTCTCACTTTTCTTTTCTACACCCATCTTCCTAGTCAGTGTCCCATCGTGCTCAACCCTTTGTGGTTCCATAGTTGTCCTCTGCTTACCTTCTGCTTTTGTATACATTACTACCTTTTCCACTAATCTCTCCCAATTCTCCATCAAGACAATTGCTATTTATTCCTCAGGTCTCAACTTAAAACTCATACCTTAACTTCCCCCAAAACCGGCATATAAAAAGTGTTAGTTACTCTCTCCATTCTAATCTCTCTGTACAGCACAACTCCAGGAACACAACTTACAGTTCTAAGAGGTAGAGATGTTAACTCTGACTGTGAGCTCTCTAAGGCAGAGACCATATGCCACTTACTATTTAACAGCTAGTGCCCAGCCTCTAGAGTATCTCACACAAATTACCTAATATCTATCAGATGAATTAAGTTTTATACACCAGACATTTATTTGCTTTAACTTGGATTAAAAAAACAAAACTTAGCAGTACTTAGCAGGAAAGAAAAGCTCCAAGGTTTCAAATATAAAACATCCAAAATGACTGACTGTTGTGGACTGGTTTGTCAGCATGGTAATTTGTGCTAGGTCAAAGAGGAGATAATTTTCCTGAAGTATTTCAGAGTAATTCAACAGTTGATGAGGGTTTTTTTTTTTTTTTTT